TCCAGAAGCGGTGAATGCTCCAACACTGGAAGTTTTTAAGAAGAGACTGGACAGCCATTTGTCCGAAATGGTATAGGGTTTCCTGCCTGAGCAGGGGGTTGGACTAGATGACCTTCAAGGTCCCTTCCAACTTTACTATTATTATTATTGTTATTAAATACCAGTATTGGCATGAGAAAACTCTTTTATGCAATTGTCTACTGTTCTACATAGAACTGAATTGAGTGGGTATTTTTTAAAAAGCCATAAGTCTTCCTATAAATTCACTCAATAGCTTAATAGATAGGATTTAGTTTATAGCATTTTCATTTAAATAAATATTTTTTCCCTCACTGTACTCCTCCCACAAATGGGTGGGACAAAATGGTGGCCATATTTGGATTGCTGCCACATGGCCCAGACACACATAGCTTGCCCTCCTTTCACAACATGAGCTTCAAAAGTAAATGTGCGGTGTGATGGGTGGGTGTATGGGGAGGAGTTCCAAGTGCAAGGTTTTGCTGCAAGATTTTGGCAGGATGGGAGAGGGAGAGGGAAAAGAGTGCTGCAGTGACCCTGTGGTGGGTCATAAGGGCCAATGACTGCAGGCCCACTGCAGCTGTTGTAACTCTGAAATGGAATCATATGTAGCTTTTGGTGGGTCTGTCGTAATTTCGAATGTTCGTTAAATGGCCTGTCATACCTTGAGGATTATCTATAGAAGTTAAACACTATAACTGTTTAGCACTTTTTTTTCAAAAGATTTAAATATTTAAGTGAATATTTGCCTGTCTCTCTGTGTTTGTAAACTATAGAAAATAAAGCAAACTCCTAACAAAGTTAATCCAATCACCGGAGTCATTGGAAGACATATTCAATTGAAGGAACAAAGAATTTTACATCTTTAAGTGTATTAAATGATATTATTTTTAAATGTCTATAATCCACTTTCTTAGTTGCATGTCTTTCTTAAATACCTAAAACATTTTTTCATAGATTTGTTTTTATAGCTGTCTCAACTGAAACAGTTGTATAACTTTTTTCATTCTGAAATTCATTCAGCCTTACACAATCTACAAGTAGGTTTGCATTCCAGGCAAGAACTGGAAAATCAACTTCATGCAATCTCCATTTGTTTTTGCTCTCCTTTATAAGGAAGATAATTGCCACATTTTGAATATTTCAGCAACTGTATATATCCTGTTTTCAAATAGAAAGAAATATACTGAGCACTTGTACCTACCAACCATTTTTAATTTTTTGCACTGTCTGAGAATAATGTTAAAATAAAGACACTGTGGTAAATGGAAAATATTATTAAACTGAAGGTCACGATACTACTAATATTTAAGGGAGCTCCAGGAAGAGGGGAGAACATAAGAGTGTGTTGCCAGAGCCCTGGGAATCTATCAATTGCTCAAGTACTCCAGATGCTGATACTGGCCCTGAATATATGTATACATTAATTTCATGAAATCATTTACCCAATATGTATTACTTGCAGCTAGTAATGCCTATAAGTGAATTATATTGGGAATCTAGAACAAAGCCTTATTACCCACCTTTTATAAAACAATTGCCTCATTTTAGAAACTTGCTGGTTGTAAAAATACTCCTTAGCAGTTTTAACATCCTTAAGGCAATAAAATAAAGGTTCCTTGGAATCTATACCATTATATAAATATATATCTGTTCATTTATTTCTATTGTAATAGAAATGCAGTGCTGATTATTGGAAACTTGTTATACAGTACTCTAGTCAGTGAAACAAAACAAGGTTTTTTGCCATGTAAAACAGCCATGCTGGTTGGGGAGTCCTGGGAATTGAAGTCCACCTATCTTATAGTTGCCAAGTTTGAGAAACAGTAATGTAAAGCATCATGTATGTATAACTACTTAGTGTAGCTTGTACAATACTGTATTCTCATCAACCACGTTTCTTACACATGGCAAAATAAACTACTGAATATTCAATGCATCTTATTTCAAATTTAAAGAAATTGACTCTGAGCGATATATATGTATCCTAATTTGTATAATTTGTATATTATATTTTTATAAAATAGACCATGATGAGGGTACAATGTAATTTCTCATTTAAGTGTAGGTCTCAAGCTAACTTTCTTCATTTCAGTGAGGGATCATGGCCTACACACAGTACTATAAAACAGTTTTCTGCAGCATCAAAGAATTATGTCAAAATGATGATTTTGGATGATTGTGTATGCAACACCATAATGTACGTGGAAAGGTCAGATCATGCATGATGAAAACATCAGTTTTCAATTTCCTCTCAACTCTTCTGCTGTAAAATACATTTTAATTTTCTGCATACTTACTTAGGAATACATTCCCAGATGAAATTTTCTATTTGATGTCTAAGATTCTAGACTGAAGTGTGACACATGATGGTAAACTGCAAAACATGTCCGCTATATGGATCATTCAGCACATAGCAAGAATTAAAGTTCCTAGTATGGCTCAGTGCTCCTATCATTTCTGAGAGGAACTTAGGCTTGGATCTTAAAACAGGTTTTGGAGTTTAAGACCAATGCATAGGCTTATTTTTAGTTGTAAGTCTATACATATGTTGTATATAGTATGTTTAAATGTGTGTTATGTATGTGTACACTTTGAGAGCAAGCAACTAAATTTCACTTTTAATGTGTGCCATTGTGCCCACAGTAAAAAATGACAATAAAGGTTATTTTTAAACCATTATTCACATTTTTTTATTTTTTATTATAAAGTCTTAAATACTAATATAATCATCAGTTTTATACTCATACTACTGTATTTACTGGCTCAGTCTTCAGAATGGAATATAAATATTAGTAAATGAATGTGATAAATTATATGACTTTATATATGCTGGCTTATCCCTTCACTTATGTAAAAACAGCAGCATTGCACAATCATAAAATGAATGCAAACCCTTTCCATATGCAAAAATTCCCAAGTGTGCAATGTGTATCTGGATGCAGAAATGATTCTATTGAGACGAGTGCTACATTTTTCAGACTAAATGCCTAATTATTTTTAGCAAGAGTGTTCAAAAAGAAAAGAGCCTCTACAAGCTAAGAAAAACAAAAATGTCGAACTGCTTTGAGGAAAACATGAAGCATGGCTGTCTGCAGGTCATGCACTGGAAGGGGAGAAATAGTTGTGGTAGCAACTCAACAATTGTGCTTTTGTTCTAAGTTAGCTACTCCTCTCAGTTACAATGGAAATTCAGTGAAGGTTTATTAAATGTCTGGTTGGCTGGAAACGAAGTTTTTTAAAAAAAAATCTTGGGAAACAAAATGTCTTGGGCTACACATCTTAAATATGCTTATAAGAATCACACATCTGCAAGACCAGTTAAAAATACCTTCCCTCCCAAAAAGGCAACATATAGTTATTGGAAAGAAAATCCCTTAAACTGCAAGAGAAAATAATTTAACATTTTTTGAACTTGTTAGCTTAGTTGTAGCATTGCCTCATTTCCGGAAGATGTTTATCAGCTAGTTTGACTTTGGAAAGATGCAAATAGTTCGATTGTTTGCTCTTTCATTTGTATGCTTAGTCTTCCAGTGTTATAATTGCAGTTTGTGTTTTTAAGCCACTAAGTTGTTAAAATATATTTAAAACAAAGATAATTCTTCACTAATTTTAATTATATGCAATATGATATCTGGTGGAAAGAAAACTGAAAAATTGGCACCTGCTGCCAATTCCATGTAAATGAGAATTTGTTAAGATAATTCATTAGAGACTTCAGGGCATCTAATAGCATGGAAGAAATTCCACCTTGACAGATGTTGATTCACATTTTCTGTGCTGTGCCTTCAAGTAAACCGTTTCTTTCGTTCTCTGTATAAAGCATACAAACTGCAGTCCCGCTCTTTGCAGCATTTTATATTACATGCCTAAAGAACATTGTTCTTATATGCCGTTTCAGAATTTGTTCTGGAACTAAAAAATAAAACTGCGATGTAGGGTGACACTAGGCCTAGTCTGCGTTAATCCCAGCCTCAATTTGGTGAAGCAGCTTTACCAATCATAGAATAAAAGCGTAACGAGTTCAAGAAATCCAAAGAACCTGGAATAGGAACACTTAAGACATCACAAAATAATGTGTTGAAGCGCCTTTATTTTGCAGGAAGGCCTCGAAGCCAAAGTAGTAGCTACTGCCGGAGTACTGAATCTGTCTCCGGTTACAAACAAAAGCCATCAGCGCACCTCCTTACGCCCCCTAAAACAGCAAAGGGAGGCGGCGCCCACCGGAGCCTCTCCCAAGAATCCCCACCTCGCCGTCGATTTCTCGCTCCGTCATTTGCCCCTCCCCTTCGGATTCTCCCCACACGGCGGCGGCAACCCCGGCCTCCACTTCGCGTGCTAATACACACGCGGCACGCTTACGCCTACCGCGCAGGCAGGCAGTGGCACTCGGAGCGCAGCCACTGTCGTTCCACCAGGCATGGCACAGGGCTCTTCTACTTCATTATGGCAGCAGCGCGACACAGCACTCTCGACTTCACGCTCAGCGCCACAGGTGAGGCACCTCATTCCGGCGACTCGCCCTTTATGGCCTACCCACCCACTCCCGGTTGCCCGACCGGCCCTCAATTGTTCTTCCTTCCCTTCCTCAGCAGCGGAAGAGAGGAGAGGTCCGAACGGCTTGCTGGGTCGCTCTTGCCGCGAGAGTCACGGCCCCCCGCAGGCCTCTGCAGCAAATGAGGCGAGCGAGCGAGCGAGTTGTCTAGATTGGCGTGGGAAGACTGGGGCAGCCTGCTGTCTTTGGCCCGGCATGCTCCTTTCCTGCCCACTCTTGCCCTCCCGTCCCCAAATACGCGGCATATCCTCCTCTTCCCTCCCCGGGTGTCCTTTACCGCCAACTCTTGAACCTTCTGTTCTCCCGAATCTTCAATTCCCCGACAAATTTGGATCCCCCCCACCTCCCTATTTGCAATTATTTTCTGATATTCAGTTATTTTCTAACATTCGTGCCTGCAACTCCTCTCCTTCGTAAATGCAGATTGCCTAAAGCTCGGACCCGTCTTGCTGCGTTTCCAACCATGCGCGCTTCCGAGCCGCATGTGCTTTATGGCCTCCCTCGGCGAAAAATTGCCATGTGTCTGTCTCATTCGTTTCCCTGAACAGACCCCCAACTCTCACCCTAATATGATTTACTCTCGTCATCCGAAAATAGACCGGCAAAGATCTTTCCTCCCTTCCGGGCATATTTCCTTTATATACTTAAAAATGTGAGCCCGTGCCTTTTGGGGGGGGGGCGTCTGACATGGAGGCCTATTTCTATCCAGTAGAAATAGGCATCTGTTCATTTTGCACGTCTTGCCGCCAAAGGACGGGCCTTAATCTACCCCTCAGGTGGTTGGTCTTTTCTCCGGAGATGCTGATGGAGGAGGTAATCCAGTTATCTCCTTCTACTCTTCCTGATTTCCAGGCTCTACTGGAAATTGGGTTAGAAAGAAAATGTTAGCTGTATAGGAGAGGTGAAATGGTATGCTTGTTTAATATAGTAATAATAGAAACACGATCTACAGAATGTATAGAAGAACAGGAAGCATTCTTACAAAGATAAATTGGAATGAAATTGTGTCTAATTTCAAATAATTGTTAAAAATAAAGAAATAGGAATATTTGATGTTTTATCTTTTTTCTTAGTTGGAGAAGGAAATATTTGGGACAATTCTAACTTCTTCATCTGACAGTTGGATTTGTTTGTTCATATACATTATTATTTTGCAAAACTTAAAATTGGGCTATTTCCCAATGTTTTCCAAAAGGCCTGAATCCAACCATGTCTGTTTAGAGCACTTCACCTTCAGTGGCATTTAATATAGTGTTCAAATATAGTACAATTTTTTTTACAACCAATAGAATTGCAGTCATTCTGCATAAGAGGAATAGACCAATCTTTATGTAAATAAAGCTCAAGTAAAAAGAAATGCAATATTTAAAAACTAAGTGGGAGATGCATTTGGTGGTACTTCTTAAACAATGGAACTTAAAGACCACAAAATGCTGTCCTGTTTCAGGTTTCAGGTATGTGTGTTTGTGTGTGCACACATGAGCACGCACACACACACACACACACACACACATACAAACGATTTCTTAGGAGTATCAGTTTCAGAGGACAATAGCAAGGAATGTCAAATAAGGCAAAGACTTTTCTGTGAATTTTGTTTTCAAAGGGGAATGTGCAGAAAAGTCATCCAAAATTGTTCTGTCACGTTTATCAGCTAGTCCAAGGGTTTATAGTGCAAGAGAAGTCATGCACAAGCCAGATATTATTTCCAGCAAAGAGAACATAGGCAAAGAAATTATTTTTTAAACGCTGCAGCCAGCTATCACCAATCAGAATGTTTACTTCAGTGTTTCTCTACCTTGGCAGCTTGAAGATGTGTGGACTTCAGCTTTCAGAATTCAGCAGTCAACATGCTGTCTGGGGTATTCTGGGAGTTGAAGTCCATACATTTTCAAGCTACCAAGGTTGAAAAATACTACTTTATTCCATTGCTTGACAAGTAACCCAACAGGTTTCCTCTGTTCTGCTCTTCCTTCTACTTGTCTGGTATAGGGACTGGGAGGCCTTATGCCATCCTTACCTCACAGATCCTGCTGTTCAAGTAGTGCTGGTGATTGATCAGCCTTATGTGATGTCCATCCTGAGCTGACATTGCGCAGGCTCAACTGAAGCAGCTTTTTCAGCTTCGGACTCAGTTTGGGCTATGATATATGTGTTGGTTTTATTATAGCATCAGGAGATAGTTCTGTCAGGTGTGGTTTACATAGAGGTGATTTTTTAAATTTGTTTTCATTTAATTGATGTATTAACCTCCTTAGCAGTATCTGAATGGTGCCAAACCTTTTGTTTGTGTTTGTGTATGGCGCTATTAATAACCTATTTATCAGATATATTCTATAGAACTGGTAAGTAAATTGTTTGTTGTAGTGCCATAAAACATATTGAAACAACTAAAACATTTCCTATGATTTTTGCAGGAACACACATACAACTATTGCCACAAAAGAAAGCAATAACTCAAATTGCTGTAAACTATGAGTTCCTTTCCACTTCCACATTTGTATTTTGTTGTATACCTGTATTATGTGATAGCTGTATGTATTGTAGTGCTTCATTTAGATATTGTATAAGGCACATAGACTATAGAAACCTGAAAAGTAGTTGTCTTTCTTACAGTGTTTTTTCTTAACAAAATTCAATAGGCTTGGCTGAATAGGGAGAGTAGATTTTACAAAAGTTGGCAGTTTCTGGTAGAAATCACCTTC